GGCAATTTAATCATGTGTTTAAACAACAGCTGAGCTGTTCAGCAAACCACAATGATATGCACCAATGCAATCTGATAGGTCACAAAAAGGCTTTCTGTCTTATGCAACTGGATACTGAGATTCTATTTTCAATGTGTAAATATTTGCTGCCCATGCAAAGGTGATAGATACTCCTATTTCTTTTCAATTCAGCATACATGCAAAAACATTATATTCCACACATTGCACACCTAATTCAGGTTTGGTCTTGTGACTTATCTGTAGCTTGTAAAATTTTTATTGATGTAAAAAAAAGAAGAAGAAAAAAACGCAAAAATGTCTTGCAATCAAATTTTCAGCTGATTTCACAAAATAATTTAGACATGAATATAGAGAAAACCAAGGTTATATGATAAGTTATCTTCCACTGAGCCCCCAATTTATGGCAGAGTTACTAATTGAAGTTATTTATATATAGCGTTTTTGTTTTTCATCCATGTTACCTGGAGGTGTCTTCTTCAGACATATAGATTATTCAAACGTTATTTTGCAGAAGGTTTTCATTGGCATCAAATATCTTATTAGCTTTCTTAAAGGAATACTGGATACTTTATTAATTGCATTGATATTTGATTTACAAACATGCATTTAAACAATGAATTTCAAAAATAATATTTAGAATATGTTTGAGCTGCTGATTTGCTACAGACTTTGATCCATGTTCTCTAAAGTCTAACCTCAATAAAAAAAATAAATCTCAGCCACGCGTGAAAGAAGCACTCTGTATACATGTGGCATGTACAATTGCACTTCTTGCCCCATAGAAATGAATTGTACCTGCTTCTGTAAAAATGTGTACAGATACAAGGTCTCCCTTTTATTCTGAAAGCGCGGCACATCTGTACGCGTTTCTCATTTATTTCTATAGGAAAAACCTGCACTTGCTTTTTAAATATACCCATTACATGTTTTCTATCAAATAGGCAGAATGAGCCATAAAGGTGGAAAACCAAATAAACCATTTTATGAACTCTAATAAATGTATAATATATTTAATTTAAATGCTAATATGTGCAGTGCTTGCAAATTCCCTTTAGAAATTAGTAATGGTTAAGCCAGGACCTAAATTGTTATTATTCCTTTAAATTTAATGTGTATAGGTGGGGAAATAAGTGATTGAAAATTATTTTTTTTGCATTTCTGTGGAAAGCACCTTAAATTATAGGGGCGAGAGGTTCTACAAGAATTGTCATAAATTGTCACACATAACTTCTTAGGTGCTTTCACAACTCGAATGCCCCCATAGGTCGTGTCCTTACTCCTTCAGAATCACGATTAGGCTAATTGCTTGTTATCCGGACAGGTCTCACACGTCATCTGTCTTGAATGTGATTGTGATTCTATGTATTTTGTGGTTGTGATTTTACATATATTTGTATTCCTTCTGCAATTGCAGAATAAAGTTATTCCTGCCTTCGTTATGGTTGCTTGATTTATTTTAAGTCAACTGTTTTGCCTAGTATTTTCAAGAAATTAGCTTCCTTGCCAGGGGTAAGCAACTGTTTGTTTTTTATATTCATGTGTATGGTAACTTGTTTAGCCTGTCAATTATGTACATATTGTTTAAAAGTAACGTGATCATATTTATCTGAGCATCTGTAGATTAATGATGATAGGCCACATACCAGTTTTGTCCTCCATCTGGAGAATTTGTAATTCATAATATGAAGTAAAGTCTGCTTGACTTATCATTTTGTATGAAAAATAAATAAAAAGTGGAAGAAATTAGATTTGTCATAGTCTTGCATGTACTAATTGTAACTAGTACATTAACTTGATACATTAACTTGATACATTAACTTGATTTGAGTAATACATTTATGAATAGGATTTACTTCCATTCCGTCTTTTACAGGTCACATATAACAAGAGGTGCACCATTGTTAAAAAATATATTTTTAAAAATGTGATGTTCTGAGATTATTGATATTATTATTAGACATGGAAACAAAACTGCCTTACAAAAACATATGTCTTATTATAAGTCAGGATGACTTTTTTTTCCACTTCCCTTATTGCTCAGAGTGTTTAACACCTTCATTTCTAAGTACCTTTTGATTGACAGAATGTTAACATATAATTTATTTGAAGCAACAAGTTTGTGTATAGACTGCTTTGTAGACAAACTTAAACATTCAAATTATATACATTTTCTGAATTTGATTAGCCATTTAAAAAATATTTTGGAAATGAAAAGCTATAGACAGTAAACATTACATGTTATGTATGTCTTTGTAAGGACTCTGAATGCATTACTAGAAACAGAAACAGAATGTAAAAAGAATGCCTGCATTTGAGCTTAATGATCACCTACTGTAAATACAGGTAAATCATTATTTCTAAAATAAATGTTCTATAGCAATCTGCATCAATCTCATGAATGCAAATGAAATGCTAACAGTGAACTGGTGAAGTCCATAGTTACATAGTTACAAAGCTGCAAAGAGACCTGTGCCCATCTAGTTCAGCCTTCCTCACATTTGTATTTTGCTGTTGATCCAAAAGAAGGGAGAAAAAAAACAGTTTGAAGCACTTCCAATTTTGCAACAAACTAGGAAAAAAATTCCTCCTTGACCCCAGAATGGCAGTCAGATTTATCCTTGGATCAAGCAGATTTACCCTACATTGAAAAATTCCCCCAGTCTATCTAAATCCCTCTGCAGCAAAGTAATATCTTGCTCAGATTGTATTACTTTACAGAGTTTTGTGTCATCTGCAAACACTGAAACAAGACTTTCAATGCTTTTTTCAAGATCATTTATAAACATGTTAAATAGAAGGGGTCCCAGAACAGACCCCTGAGGGACACCACTTGCCACCTCTGTCCAGCTTGAAAATTTACCATTAATGACAACTCTTTGTACTCTGTTTTTAAGCCAATGTTCTACCCAAGAACAAGCATTTTCATCTAGAATGATTTCTTTGAGTTTGAACACTAATCTGTTGTGTGGAACGGTATCAAATGTCTTGGCAAATTCCAAATAGATCACATCCACTGCAACACCCTGATCTATACTTCTGCTTACTTCTTCATATAATGCAATCAAGTTAGTTTGACATGACCTGTGCTTCATAAAACCGTGCTGATTTTTGCTGATAACCATGTTCTTCTCAAGGAATTCTTGAATATTATCCCTTAATAACCTTTCAAATACTTTTCCAGCCATACAAGTTAAGCTCATAGGTCTATAATTTCCAGGCGAGGATTTTGAACCCTTTTTGAAAATTGGAACCACATCTGCCTTCCTCCAATCCTCAGGAACACTTCCTGAAAGAAAAGAATATTGAAAGATTTAAAACAGAGGTTCACTTATTTCTACACTTAGTTAAGTACTCGTGGATAAATACAGTCAGGTAGAATTTATGTACTTAACCCCTTTAGGACGGAGTCAATAGTGCAAGCTCTGATCAAAACAAAACGTAAACAAAAGCTGGAATTTGCGCTATATGTCTGTTCAACCTTAATTCACCTCTTTCATATTAAATGCACCCACACTTATTATATATCATTTTGTTCAGGAGAAACAGGGATTTCATTTCATATCACATATTTATATATGAAACATAATTTATTATGAATAAAATTTAAGAAACTGTGAGAAATGTTACATTTTTTAAAACAAATTGTAGTTCCGCCTCACATTTTAGCTGGAAATGTCATAATACTGTTAGGTATTACTGCAAAAAAAAAATGCACATATTTGTAATCATTGATGTCTCACGAGTGCAACAGTACCCCCATTAACAGGTTTTATGGTGTTTTGGAAAGTTACAGGGTCAAATATAGAACGTTCCATTTTCAAATTGAAATTTGCCAGATTAGTAATGTTACCTTTGAGACAGTGTGGTAGCCCAGGAATAAGAATTACCCCCATAATGGCATACCATTTGAAAAAGTAGACAACCCAAGGTATTGAACATGGGGTAGGATTAGTCTTTTTTAGTAGCCACTTAGTCACAAACACTGGCCAAAGTTAGTGTTCATATTTGTTTTTGTGTGAAAAAAGCAAAAAACATATTTGGCCAGTGTTTGTGACTAAGTTACTAAAAAAGACTGGACATACCCCATTTGCAATACCTTGGGTTGTCTACTTTTGCAAATGGTATGCCATTATGGGGGTAATTCTTATTCCTGGGCTACCATACGGTCTCAAAGGCAACATAACCAATCTGGCAAATTTCAATGTCAAAAAAATGAAATGCAAGCCTTATATGTGACTCTCTAACTTTCCAAAACACCATAAAACCTGTACATGAGGGGTACTGTTATTCTCAGGAGACTTCACTAAACACAAATATTAGTGTTTTAAAACAGTAAAACATATTACAACAATAATATAGTCCATAAAAGTGCTGTTCATTTGTAAAAAAATGCAAAAAACTTCACATTTACTTAAAATATCATCGTTGTAATACAATTTACCAGTTTGGAACACTAATATTTGAGTTCAGTGAAGTCTCCCTAGTAAAACTGTACCCCCTATGTACAGGTTTTATGGTGTCTTGGAGAGTTACAGGGTCAAATATAGTGCTTGCGAATTAAATTCTCTGCACTTTCTCCCTGTGTTGTCAGGCATGTCAATCAAATTTTAATTAATCAAATCACATAATTATGTTAAAAGATTACTTAAATATACATGTAGAATTTTGATATATATGCATTTATAGGTATTTAAATTCTACGTGTATACTAATATAATCTTTTATGTAATTATATGTATTTATCTATATATATATATTTGCGGTTATTTGTATTTTATATATATATATATATATATATATATATATATATATATATATATATATATATATATATATATATATACACACACACACACACATACATATACATATACACACATACATACATATATATATATATATAGACATAGCAGAAATGACCGCACTCCAAGGACTTTATAGAGATTTTCAAATAAAATTTAGCTTTTATTCAATCCATTTAAAAAGTCAACGTTTCAGCTCCCACATGGAGCTTTCATCAGGGCAAAACATCGAAAGCTCCATGTGGGAGCTGAAACGTTGACTTTTTAAATGGATTGAATAAAAGCTAAATTTTATTTGAAAATCTCTATAAAGTCCTTGGAGTGCGGTCATTTCTGCTATGTCTACATGATCCTCGCCAGACCAGCACCGGGCACCACAGGATTACACCAGGAGTGCAAGCCCTCGCTATTTATATATATATATTTCTGTATAGTATATACAGCTCTGTTTTTTTTGCACATTTGGTTAAGGGATACAGGGAGTGCATCCCCATATATAGTGGCTTGCCTGCACTTCCTAAACGGTCAGTCTTTTTTAGTAGCCACTTAGTCGAAAACACTGGCCAAAGTAAGCATTCATATTTGTTTGTGTGTGAAAAAAGTAAAAAAACTAAATTGAACGCTAATTTTGGCCAGTGTTTGTGACCAAGTAGTTACTAAAAAAGACTGGACATACCCCATTTGCAATACCTTGGGTTGTCTTCTTTTGCAAATGGTGTGCCATCATGGGGGTAATTCTCATTCCTGGGCTGCCATACGCTCTCAAAGGCAACGTAACCAACCTGGCCATTTTCAATGTAAAATATTTGACCCATATATTTGACCTTGTAACTTTCAAAAATGCTATAAAACCTGTACATGGGGGGTACTGTTTTACTCGGGAGACATCGCTGAACACAAATATTAGTGTTTAAAAACTGGAAAATGTATCACAACAATTATATCATCAGTAAAAGTGCTGTTTGTGTGTGAAAAATGAAAAAAAAGTAACTTTCACTGACAATATCATCACTGTGATATGTTTTACTGTTTTGAATCACTAATATTTGTGTTCAGCGAAGTCTCCCGAGTAAAACAGTACCCCCAATGTACAGGTTTTAGGGTGTCATAGAACGTTACAGGGTAAAATACAGTGCTAGCAAATTAAATTCTCTGGAATTTCGGCCTGGGTTGGCAGGCAGGTCCCTCAAATTGCAATCAATAAAATTACTGAATTATGTAAAAATGTTACATAAATACGCACGTAGAATTTAAATATATATGCATATTTATATATTTGAAGTCTACGTGTATATTTATATAATTATTTATGTAATTTTGTATATGGACGTATGTATATTTCTTATTATTTTTATTTATATAAATATATATACAATATATCATTCTAAGTGCATTTTGATATAAATATATATATATATTAATTTTAAAATACAGTTAGAATAAAATTTCATATAGCTATATAATTTTTTTTAAATTTTTTATTATTATTTAAAAAATTTTTTATTTAATTTAAATTACTTATTATTTATATTTTATAATATATATATACAATATATATAGTTATTATATATATTATATATATACGTGTGTAATTTAATTATAAGTGTATTTTATATTAATATAAGTACATATTAATATAAAAATACACTTAGTATGACATTATATATATATGATATATAGACATATATTATATAGATATAATATATGTCTATATATCATACATACACATATATAATTATTTATTTATTTTTTATTAACATTAACTTTATTTTATTTTTTATTTTACACATGCAGGGAGACTGCCTGTCAGCACAGACAGTCCCCCTGCAGGCAGACACATGGACACCTATTGTGACCATGTGATCGCTGTGTTAAGCGATCACATGGCCACAGGGGTCCTAATCTGCCGTGGGGAGACTGTCTGGGCTGCGGGCAGTCTCCCCACAACCGGAGCCACGCTGATCGCCGCCGGGGGAACGACGGCGATCAGGTAAGTAGCTCTGACCGTTAGGACGGTTCAGGACCGTCCTCAGTCCTTAAGGGGTTAATGTTACTCTGTCTTTATTTTGTTTCCCTTACTGTTTTCTAAGGTACCTCTTATTTTTTCAAATACTCATACTTTCCTTTTAAATTTATCTTTCATCAGTTTCATTTTACCTCTGTTTCTCTCAGGGTACATTATTAAGGGAGTCTATTTGTATTGTTTTGCGACTGTTTTTGTTATCTGGTACCTTCACTTTGCTGCCCGGAATCGCGGCAGGCCTGTTGTCTGCCCCAATTTTCCCAGACTTTTGGGACCGCGGAGAACACCTCAGACGGTCCTTTCTCTTGTGCGGCGGCCATCTTGGATCTCGTGCACTTGCAAGAGATCCCAGCGGCCATTTTTTTTGTGCCCACGATCCGCACAAATTATATAGGGCGCCCTGATCATCTAGTTTGCGCCCGACCTGTGAAAGATTTCTGCGATCCACTGGGCGCATCCTGCTCTGCTACAGTTATGTTTTTGTGAGTGTTTTGAACTGCGAGGAGTATATTGAGCTGCAGTTCTTTTACAATTATTATTTATAGTCATTTATGGGAGTCTTACATTAAATACCTGGTTTGCTTTTTCTGACAAACACTCAATACTTACTTGGTTCCCACAGTGACACAGTCCACTATTTATTGGTTGTCCAGTAAACCATACTTATTCCCATGATCTTTAACCATCTGCCTGCATATAATTGATTTTGCTGTCTCTGTGTCCCACTACCTCCCTATGTACCCGGAGAATTTCTACTGGGTAACCCCTAGTTATATATACGTGGCTAAATTTATTACATATATGATATTGTGCACTAGTCCTTATTTCTAATACTTGCCTATTCTGCCCTTCTGGCTAAAGTAATGGATTCCTCGGCCCAGGACCAAAATCTCCAGGTGCTTATTAACGCAGCAGTGGCTGCTTCTGTGGAAAAGGCCCTGTCACAGGTCCTTCCTGTGGATCCTAAGGACAAAGCCTTCTCTTAGCCACTAGGCTCTGCAGAAGAATCTCTGGACTTAGATTCCCCCAGAGTGCGCAAATCACACAAATGCTATTGGAAAGGGGATGGTCCAGAACCATTAAACCGCAAGGATAAGGCACCAGCAAAGCGCCCCAAGCAAAAGAATGCTTGGAGAGACTCCAGGTCTGTTCTACTCTGTCTGAAGAAGAGGAGGATGCTTTAACTCTGCCATTGACTTGGATGATTGGCAAGCAGATCAGTCAGAGTTGGACAAGAAGGCTGATTGGCCAGGCCCAGGCTTTAGAGGGACATTCTTGTCTGGAGAAGGGATCACCGATCCCACCCTGGAGGATCCAACCTCCTTGCCAACATCATCTGGTGATGCAGACCTTTTCCTGGATACCGCAGGCCAACCCCTTTTTTAACCACGCCTGATCTGCCATCCATGAGGTCCGCAAACGATTGAGAGCAGAATGTCCCAGAGCATACCTTCCAGAGAAGGTGGCTATGACCCCAGAATTCAACATAATGGTGTATACCTTGTAATGGATCACCTGTACTCCGACCAAGTACCTTCCATTGATGGACGCTTCCCAGCTTGCGCTGAGGACCACAAGCACCGCACTGGACACCACAACTAGCGCAGACTCCACAACCGCCATAGCTTAACCTGTAGGACATACTGTTGCTGGGGGGAAGGACAACACCTTCGGCACCCTGGGATGCATAATGCCGCTAGGGAGGGAGCGATTGTCTCCCCTCCCTGTAGGGAACACTGCCGCTGGGGAGAGAGTCCGGCTGCCTCCTCTCCCTGGGACTCACCCTGCCGCTGGGGAGTGAGACCGATTGTCTCCACTCCCTGGAGGGAACACTGCCGCTGGGGAGAGAGGCCGGCTGCCTCCTCTCCCTGCACAACACACTGCTGCTGGGGAAAGAGACCGGTTGTCTCCTCCCCCTGAAACTCACTCTGCCGCTGGGGAGTGAGACTGATTGTCTCCACTCCCTGGAGGGAACACTGCCGCTGGGGAGAGAGTCCGGCTGCCTGCTCTCCCTGCAGCTTACACTGCTGCTGAGGAGAGAGACTGGTTGTCTCCTCTCCCTGAAGGACACACTGTTGCTGGGGCGCAGGGACGGAATACTTCACCATCTCTGCCCGCCATTCTGCTAGCACCTGCAGATCCTCGATCAGTCCTTTCCTCATGAACTGTATACGTTTCTCCGTTGGGTTGGGTCCATAGAAAGCCAACCACTCCTTCAGTAGAATGTCAAACCTTGCTTGACTGCCACAGAGCGGCATGCTTGCTCGGTGTTTTCAGGATGCTGCTCCTCACATTAGAAAGCCATCCCACCACTGCCACCACTGTAATGGATGACCTGTACTCCAACCAAGTACCTTCCGTTGATGGATGCTTCCCAGCTTGCGCCGAAGACCACAAGTACCACACCGGACACCACAACTACCGCAGATTCCACAACCGCCGTAGCTTAACTGGTAGTCTCGCCGTCTTCCTTCCACCCTGGATCAGCTTCTGTCCTCCAGGACCGTGTGGGAAAGACCTCTTCCTTCCACCCTGTATGAACCTCCAACATCCAGGACTGTGTGGGGAAGACCTCTCCTCCAGGAGAGCGTATCAGGAACAGTTCTTAAAAGAGCTAAGTGATTAGAGCTCAAGGGAGTATGCAGAGCATTGCAATCCCCAGTGTGAATATAGCTGTCCCCTCCAATCACCAGACAAGACTACGTGTTGAGGGTCAAAAAGATCTGTTTAATCAGCACCAAAGGGCTTTCTTTTATGCAAGTTTTTACACAAAGTTACCACCCACATGGTAACATGGTAACAACAGCCAATCAACAACGTACAATACAGTTAAACACAGTAGGTCCCCCCCGTATTGTTATTTAGGGGTTTAAGCCAATCAGAGTGCTCTTTGTCATTTTACACAGCGTGGGAAAATTCCAAAGAACTTTCCTACGCCGTGTAAAATGACACAGAGCACTCTGATTGGGTGGCTTGAAATGCATCCAATCACAGTGCTCTGTGTCATTTTACACAGCGTGGGAAAGTTCTTTGGAATTTTCCCACGCTGTGTAAAATGACAAAGAGCACTCTGATTGGTGGGCTGGGGTGGGGGCCAGGGTGGAGGACAGTAGGTCCCCCCCTCATTATCTTTATGGCCCCCACCCGTCGCACAGGGGTGGGGGCAATAAGTTTTGCTTTTTACAGTGAGCAGCCACAGGCTGCTCACTGCTTACTAGACATGCCCCTACATGCGGTATAG